CCCTCTTCTGACTTCCACGGGGATGGCACAACATGAGTGCACTTAAGTACACACATGAAGGTAATACACTCATGCTATTAAAATAAAAATAACAAATACTTTATTTGTAAAAATAAGAGTATGAAATAAAATATATTGAGAAATTTGAGAAGGGAATAGGTTAGGGTTTGAGGGGGATGAGATTAATTTCTCTCTCCAAATATATTATTTCTCAAAAACCTTCACATCTCACATAATTTTGTTGTTTCAGGGTATATTTTAAATTTTTTATTACATTTATCTATTTATTTTGTTGGAAGGGAGCATGTGTCACAGCATATGAGTGGAGATCAGAGAACAACCATTGGAAACAGATTCTCTTTCCACCATGTGGTTTCCAGTGTTCAAACTCAGATTGTTAGGCTTGGCAGCAAGCACCTTTACTCATTGAGCAATATTGATAAACCCCAAAAGAGTATACGTTTAATCAAATGGTAGAAATGAATATGAAATCTTTACTTGATTTCAAAAAAAAAAATAAGATTAGACTAAGATAATTCTCTGTAGCTATTACTTGTGTGATAAGCAGACATCTGAGATGATGGCTTCAGTAGTTGGATACTGATTTCATGTACTCACTGCTTGGGAAGAATAGTTTTCTTAACTTCTCTGAATTTGATGTTGCATGAAGAAGAAATACTATTTATTATGTTTGTCCTGCTCTATATGTCATTAGCTTTCTATATTATTGAATGTTTCAAGAATTTTCTATAGCTCAGCAAGACCTTAGAATTTTCTTATTCTTCAGTAACGTTTTCTTAATTTATATTCTAGCTATCATAATTAAGAATGATTTGGAGTAAAACCATCTGTATGTGATTCTTCAATTAACATTGGAGTTCAGTTGGACCTGGTATACCAATGCTACTAGCAATATCCAGTAATACTAGTCACATTCCTGGCACATCTGAATAACCATTAATATGTGGGAACCCATCCCCGATTCTCTGCTGACCTTGCGTTGCACCCTGGCTGTTGACCAGTTACCTGAACACTAGGTACCACATGACCCACCCACAAGTTCCTCTTATTGTGCTTCTCTGCAGCTGAGGCGGAGCCCTAGTGTTTTTTCCATTTGTCTGGGACTTTTCGACTGGGCTAGAGAGCGATATATATAGCAGGCTGTTCTGGCAATAAAAAAAAAAAAAATTCTCTCCACACGAATGACCTGCTGCCATGTCCTTTTTCAAGTCCTCAGACCCTCGCCCAACCTCCGAGTGCGATTTGTAGTGCTGGTACTACAGTAATGCACTGTTTGTTTCCATTTAGTGTGTGTATCAATTATTTAAGATCAGTCCAGAAGCTGCGTGTTACAGGTTTTTTTGTTTGTTTTTGCTTTCTTCCAGGCTGAGGACCGAACCCATGGCTTGGTGCTTCTTGCTAGGAAAGCACTCTACCACTGAGCTAAATCCCCAACCCCATGTTACAAGTTTTTACAATTTTATGTACATATTCTACACAGTCACAGATTATTCTTTTCTATGTGACCATCTTCCTCTAGCATTTTACTTTTTTTTTTTTTTTTTTGGTCTTTTTGAGACAGGGTCTCCCTGTAGCCCCAGCTGTCCTGGAACTCATTAGGTAGACCATGTTGGCCTTGAACTCACAGAGATCCTGCCTCTGCCTTGAGAGTGCCAGGATTAAAGGCGTGTGCCACCATGCCTGGCTGTATTTTACTATTTTTTTATTGGGTATATGAATAAATAACTTCTTATCCATTTAAAAATTTCATCTTCTTGAATGCTATTCAGTTTTGTTTCATAGTGTCTTTGAAATCAGATGATTAATTCTAAATTATTGATTTGAAATCAGATGATGAATGCTAAATTATTGATGAACAAATGAATTTGTTTCAGTATGAATTATCCCCAAATTAAGACATCAATGGAATAACATGATTTTTGGTTCTTTTATTTATTTTTATTTTTATTTTATGTGTATGAGTTTATTGCCTGCATGTATGTGAATGCACACGTGTCGTGCAATGAAGAGGCCTTTGGATTCCCCTGGAACTGGAGTTAAGGACAGCGCATAGCCACCACGTGGGTGCTGGGAATCAAACCCGGGTCCTCCGCAAGAACAGTCATTGCTCTTAACCACTGAGCCATCTCTCTAGCCAGGGATAAAATGTTTCAGCCCCATTAAACCTATGTTTCCTAAATGGCTTTATTAAAAAAGCAAAGTATAAGTATGCTCACAGAAATTAAACGTATGATTCTGGCTATTAATTTAACAGATTAACTTTCCTATTACTGAACTTCTTAATGCAAATTACTACTCTTTCTACTGATGAATCCTTCACAGTGTAGTGGTTTCGTAAATGTAATGTGTTATCTTACAGGTATCTGTATACTGATTTTTTTTAATGGCCATTTTTTTCATTTATGTTGGTGTTAAGCTTCATGAGGAACAGATTCTATTAAAAATTTTGAACTCCTTAAAATCAGAGAACTCTTTGGTCAAAAGAGAAGCAATCACTAAATGGAGAAAAATGTTCTCAACTTTATGAGAATTTGAAAAATATAATTCTGAATACAACAAATTCTTCTTTATTCTCTGAAGAGATCATTCTCTTCAGAGCTTTATTCCCATTCTTCAAGTGCAGAGAAAATAAGAACCCAGATGTTACAAATTTTGTAATATCAACAGAATTCTGCTTGTTGAAAAAGTCAACAATTTGTCCAGTGGATTAATTGTTGGTTTAACTTGGGAGCAATCAATGACTTAGTAACTTATTATGTGTGGTATTTATTTTATAGAACATTTCTCTTATAAAATAAACAATGCTTTCATCCTGGTTATAGGTCTTTAGGTAGACATATCTCTGACATTGCTTTAGTAGAAATTTATGCACAAGGATGTCTTTAGGCCTGGAATATAGATTAGCATCAAAGCATTTTTCTAGCATGCACAGGCCCTCAATCTGATTCCCAGAGCTACAAGTTTTCATAAAGAATTATATAAACAAGAGAATAGAAATTTCTCAATTACGTCAAATAAAATAAAATCAATAAGGTATTTTTTTCTTGTTCAATATTATATCATATCATTAAAATGAAACTTGTGTTCAAAGAATACTTGGATATCTGGAAATATTATATTTATATTTTATACTAAATACAACATACGGTAATGTTACATCTGTATGTTTCATTTTTATTTAAATATACACATACACAGAAATAGATATGAATAGAGATTACCAAAGTTCATACTGACTTTTATTATGCCTTTCATTGAAGGTAAGTTATAGACCAGCAGTTTTAATTAGCATTTCTAAATGTAAAGGTGAAATTTTCAACGGTGTGATGGAAGGGAGGGGTTTAGAAAAACCTGCAATATGCATAATGCTAAATTTCAATGCTATTAACAATTAAAGCTGATAACCCTTCAATAAATACTTCCACTGACACCCATAGAATAAAATCTAACCAAAGGCTGACACCTGGGTAGTTGATGATCTCACAGCAAAGTGTTTGAACCTTCATCGAGTTGAGAATCAATAGAGCCCAGCAACTGTGGTAGACTCAGACACGAATCTCAGTTCTTGAAAAGCCCTTCTGTACTAAAGCTATATTAAATTATCAAAGCTAATGTAAAAAAAAAATCAACCTTGGTGTAAAAGATAAAAGGGTAAAGTTATCACAAATGATCGCATACAGCATTCATTATAGATCCAAACGCCACTCAAATTTCATCATTTAGTAGGGTTTTGAAACAGCCAAAGCATTAACAGAAGAAAGTAGCTTTTATATTTATACAACCAGTGACTAATGAAACATTATACACAGTGTGCAAAGGGGAAAAAAACCCTTTATTTTGTAATGAACCCAATCGGAGCCCTTTTTAAACACAGTGTAATACGGTTTCACTGTTTCACCGAGCCTCTCATTACTTGTGTCAATAATACGAAGTAAACTACTGTTGAACTTCACAGCATCTATCTAGCAGCATGAATAGCATTAATCTATGGGGTGCTTTTGATGAATTAGAGTTCAAAAAGCAAAGCGAAAAATGACTTCTTACAAAGTGCTTAGAAAACTATTTATTAGAAATATGTCAACTGCCAGCTACCTCAAGGTAGCTTGGCTATTGACGAAACCATGCTGTTGACCGGCTTGCAAACACTGAGAAAGCATGAATTTTCCCCACTTGAATTCCTTTAAAGAAATAAGTGACATACTTTTAATCTGGGTATATAATTTCCTCTGCCACGTATCTTCTAATTCTCTATATTTTTAGATTGCATTGCTTTGAACACAATGAGCCATGCTACAAAACCTGTGGTCAAGGTTCTCAGGGCTTTAAGAGAGAGCAGTACTTGAAGAACTTAAAGTGAATCATGTAGACCAGACTTAGGTGTGACAACATGATACATTCAGCTACTCGTGGATCCCACTGTAGGAATCTGAGGTTTCTTTGTGACTTACCTAATAGTTGTTACACTCTTCCTACCCATTTTTTAAATTTAATACAGACTGTGAGTTAAGTGCAGTCAAGAGAAAATAATTTCCAATTATCATTGATAAGAAAGTAATCATTACATTACAACTTCTGCAGTTACTATATTTCAATAGGGAATTATTATTATTTCTGTTTCCAGTATAGTGTTTATAAATCATATTTTTAGTGATAATACAACTGAAGTTAGCTTAAGAGAAATCATTTACATGATTCTGGTTTATAACTAAAATTATTCATTCGTAAAGTTTAAGGACAATCATTGACAAGTAAATTAAGCTATTTAAAATAAGGCTTTTCACAAAAATGATTTTATTTTCCCTGTATGCTCTAACTTTATCTTATTTGTTAAATAATCCTGGAATATATTAAATGTATATCTTGGAGATATTTATATTAGTGAGAAGTCCTTCTGAAAGAAAAAGAAAGATTCTTCCAAATGTCAATAGTTCTCTAAGCTTTCTCTCCTTTCACCTGTAGTGTGTTCCAAAAGTACTCACCATGTACAATGAGGACGTACTCTGCGCTGCTTTGGCCAATGGTGTTTGTGGCTTCACATCGATATGTGCCATTGTCAGTTTTGTTCAGGAAGAGAATGTTGAGCTCCCTACCACTCACAACCATTCGATCAGGATCTGGTAGTTCTGCACCATCCTTTGTCCACAAAACAGGTTCTGGCCTGTTGGGTGCAAGCATGCATACAGAGAAGAAAAATAAACGTTAAATACGTGAACTTTTAATGACATCATTTTTGGGTAAAACCATGTGTTAACTTTTATAAGGTACCAAAAGAACCATCAAAGACTTATTCAAAAGAGGTTTGGGCATGACAAATAAAATTTAACTCCTTTCTACTTATTTAATCAGTGGTGTGTGAAGGCACAAATTTGTCAAGTCATTGTAGCTGTCACTGTTGGTACCTTGACCAGGTCAGTACTGTGTCCACATCTTGGTGCTAATGGCTCACATCACACATTGAACTACTTTCTTTGGACTAGTGAGGCAAATCCTTCCCAGATATACCTGGAATTATCCCTTTAAACATGACAGCACCACTGTGATGCATTTTGCCTGAAGTCTTCCTTCCTTCCCATATGTCTATCACTTTTCCCATTCTCTTGGAGGATTTTCCTAGAAGCTTTCTTTTAATAAAATGTGCTCAGTATGGAGGTAAGGGGAGATGGCTCAGCAGGTACAATGTTTGCTGTCCAACTGTTACATCCTGGTTTTATCCCTGAAAGTACTGTGGGAAGAGAGTATCAACCCCTGAAAGTTGTCCTGTGATCTCTCATGCATGTCTTGGCACACAAAATGATGATGACGATGATGATGATGATGATGAAATGCTATCATGCACTGTATAAGGCAATTTGACCAATGACAGTCTACATAAAGAACCATAATCTAGATGGTTATTTTGGCTAGTGACATCCATAGCCATCCTAGACTATCTACCACCACTGCGATGTTCTCACAGTAAAAAAAATCACTTAAAGTGCTTGTTGTGGAATAGTACCACATTATTAAGCCATGGAAATAACACTTTTAAAGATTCGCTATCTTAAAATCTGCTTTTAGAGAAGAAAATTGACATGAACCAGATGTTCCTATCTTCAAAGTTTTGTCTTTTAAAATTATTAAAGACAGATATGGCTATCACTAAATCTCATTATGCATTAATGACAGTAGTTTTCATGGATTCTTTTCATTTAGTCTCTAATTCTCAAAAGAATATTTCAATGAATATAACTTTTTATTTACTTTCTTACAAGAATGTAGAAAAGTCGGGTGTGGTAGCCCATGACTTTAATCCCAGCACTCAGGAGGCAGAGACAGGTGGATCTTTAAAAGTAAGGCCAGCCTGGTCTACATAGTTAGTCCCAGGTCATCTGGGACTACAAAGAGACCCTGTCAAAAAATAAATAAATAACTTAAAAAAAATATATATATATATATATATAAGCTCATAGAAATGTTCAAATCCTGGTCTGGTTCACAATTGATGTTTCATTCACTGTTTCCTGGTTTGTAACGTGATTAATATTTTCCTTATATTTACATGTAAAGATTTTATAATTGGAGCATAATTCTGTAACACAGGGTAAGCTGAATCTTTTGCTTAATTTCATGAAAATTTGAATTTAAATTCTATAATCATGAATACAATTCAGGCATGGTTCTTAAAAGTATTTTATTTATTATTTTTGTTTTATGTGTATGAGTCTTCTGCCTGAATGTAATTAAGTGCATCCATGTCGTGCAATGCCCATGGAGGACAGAAGAGGCTGTTGGATCCCCTGGAACTGGAGTTATGGACAGTTGTTAGCTGCCATGTGGGTGCTGGGATTTGAACCCAGGTCTTCTGCAAGAACAGTCAGTGTTCTTAACCACTGAGTCATCTTTCTAGCCCCTAGGGCATGGTGCTTTACCACAGACATCTGCAGCTATGAAAGTCACTGTACATGGACAATTATGCACTTTTATGATAAAAATGATAGAAAGTTGTGAATTAAATGTAGTAGGCATTAGAAAGAATATTGCATAAGTAGATCAACAATTTGATGAAAAGATTAGTAAGTGGTTGAGCATGAGAAATACATGGAGAGGATGATATTGTGATAGAATACGAAATATATACGTTATTTCTGTACCAAGTTCCTAACATTGTGCTATTTGAATCCTCTTAGACAGGAGCACTTTTAAAATAGTTGGACTTTTATGTTAGTTTCTGATAATGTTCCTAAATCCATTAGAACTTTTTTTGAATAACAAGAACCTCTTGTTGTAATGAAGTGAATACTGAGATGCCATAATGAGAGCTCTCCATGGCCCCTGAGAAGCCTCAAAAGAGGGCCATGTAGTTAAAAAACTCAGTCTTTCCATCTTCTGAAATTCTCGAGAGGGGACAGGGGTTGAAGACTGAGTTTATAAACAATATCCAATAATGTAATCAGTCAAGCATGTATAATATAGCCTCCATGAAACCTGGGTTTCCATGGTCAACATTCAAAAACTTTTTATGCTGCTAATAATGCATGGTTGGAAGATGCTGCTTTTAGAATCCATGGGTTAATATAAAATCCCCACTGCTGGGCTGGGATACCTCCTTACGTGCTGTTTGTCAAGGAGAACCCAGAGGCCACCAAACAGTACAAGTTCTTGCCATTCCTTATGATGTCAACTAGAACTGGATGATAAGACCTTGTTACTAATGATCTCACACATCTTGGTTTCGTGATATGCACAAATCAAGTTGTAATGAAGATGGGAGCTTCTTCCACATCACCTAGCTTTCATAGTCTCAGAAGTTGCTTAAATGGTGCTGGGTGAGAAAAGGAATCTACAGTGTTACCTAGCTGTGATCCCTGTGAACTAATAGACAAGCAAGATATGCCCAATTGGGAAATAATGGCACTATTTTTATATGAGTAACAAATTGCTCTCTGACTGAACTTAAGGCTTACTGTACAGGAGGAAATCATGGCTGGTATTATAAAGCCATACTATGGGAGATCATAGGCCTAGGATGGAAGTGGATGCTTTTGTTCAAGTAAGTTGATACAGGGTCAAATTGTGTTCTAAATATGCATGATTTTACCCACAGACAATTGTTACTCTCACCCTTAATTACAAGACCTCTCCAGTGACTCATAGTGAATGCTGAAACTCATGGCTGTACAAGGTACTGAGAACAAGTGATGGATGAGTGCTCAGCCCAAAACAACAGATTTATACGATTCCTTCTAGAGCTCAGGAAACATTTCAGAAGAGGGAGGCCTCCAAAGAATAGGGAGCCAGAACATAGGTAGGCCATTGCTCAAAATGTCATCTTTTGAGCCAGATGCACCTATTACAATGGCACACTCCAGCTTTTGATAAATACCTATACTGTGTATGCACAGTAACTGACATACTGTTAGGCATGGATGGAGGAGGGGCACTGTGGGCCTTCCATCTAACTTCTGGACTATTTGATACTGATGTTTTCAGGGAGACAGGGAGCCATTGCCTTCAGTTATGTACCTTTGTTGACCCCACCCACCAGTCTCCAATGGATAGTTCCAATCTAATGTTCATACAGATGGTCCTGGTAAATTAAATGTGTCACAAAAGAAAAACAGAAGTCATTAATCTGAGAAGTAGCATGGTGGGAGATAAGAGATGCAAGAGAGGAGAGTGTTACAGAATATACACTATACACATACATGGGTGGTTGAAGATGCTAGGTGAAGAAGAGCTGATCTTAAAACAAGGGACTCTAGATAAGCTGACTAGACCTCAGTCGATGAACTTGCACTGGGGAACATCTGGAGATACTGACTTGACACATTGGGTCTTAACACGGATGACAGAGTATGTGGTTTCCACTGGGGGGGGGCTATGGGACGGTGCTTTTGAGGATGGAAGTGTAAAGATGATTAAGATTGTTTGAGATATTCTGTATAAAATACACAAAAAAATCAATAAAAACAAATAGAAAAATAACTTTAATGGGAAAGTTTCCAGATGCAGGGACTCTAGCTTGACTCTTTCCTCTACACCTTGCCCTGCTCACCTTTTCATCCAGCTGTTCATTTTAACTTTGCCATAACTTCCATAATAAAACAGGAAGTATAGGCACAGTGTTCCTCTGACCCACTCTAGCAAATAAATTGAACCCATAGAGGGAGTCATGGCAATCTTGGTTCATTGTGTGTTGATCAGAAGATGGTTTATAGTCTGCTGCGTGTAATTGGCCTAAGAAGTAGTAGCAGTCTCCTGAGATTGAACCCTCCAACTGTCAGATTTGACACTATCTCTAGTTACATGGAATCAGAATTGAAGTGAAATACAGACTACTTTGTTGATACCCTTGGAAGAATTGATGACTGACAGAGAAAAACTGACTGGCACATATACTTTGTTGACCAGAGTGAATTACTGTATTGTGCTACTGGAGAAGAGAATGCAGTTTGTTTTTTCCAATCTTTTCAGAGAGAAAGAACAAAGAAATGAAGGCAATTTTATCAGAATTTTACCCATTAAATTTCTAAGAGTTCTTTGTGTGAAAAAACTGAGGTAAGTATATAAAGATATTGGAAAACATGGTACATTTCATTCAATTGTATAGAAAATTCACTCAAGTAATATGTTTATTAAAAAGCTTAACAATAAATCTCAGTGAATATATCCTACATCTGCTAATTGATATTGGAATCAGTTATTCTTTTAAAATACACTGTATAATCTACTATGCATAGCCTTAGCATCCCTTGAAAAAGTAAAAAGGTAATATGAAACTGTTTCTTAAATATAATAGAATTTTTGTGTTTTCTAAAAAGCCATCTAAGACCAATAATAATTTTATTAGCATAATTTTTATTTTAAGACATTAAATTCCTTTGTAATTCTCAAAGGAAGCACTTCTTATACCAAGACAATAGTTTCTTCATGTGTAAGTTGATATTGGTAAACAGAGAAATGTAATTATATTCAAATGCCTACATGCTTCCATACACCCAAATTAATCCACCAAATCTAAGTATGGTGACATCCTCTAATGGGGTGAACAAGTTTTCTGTCACCTCCAAAGCACATGATTCCATAAATACATAATTAATTTTATACATGGATTTTTTTAAGTTTATACAGAAACATAGAAATATAAAGTATAAATAGTTGAGTGTTCACTCTGCATTT